GGGGATGGTCGTGCCACAATCCCTTTTCCTCCATTCTCCTCCTGGGATATTGCGCACATATGCACACATGTCTGGGGTGATTTTCAAGCCACCAGGCCCAGGACTCAAACTGCAGTCAACCATGTGGGAGTCCAGCAACGTAACCACTATGCCATCTGCTGGCCCCCTAAACTCCCATTTTTAGTGCCATTTCAGCTATTTTTTTGTACAGTCTGGCTGAGAGCTTTCTTGGCTAGTTAGAATTGTATTCATTGACTACCAAATACTTAAGCACTAAGTGTTCACCCACTGCTATGTACTGAATGTCTGTGTCTCTCTGATACTCATATATTGAAATCATAACCCTCAGTGTGAAGGTTTGGCAAGTGGGACGTTGGGGAGAGGATGGGTCGTGAGGATGGAGCCCTCAGAAAGGGGATTAGCATCTCCATAGCAGGGACTTAGACAGCTCCTTGGCCCTTTCCACTATATGAAGACACAACCAGCAGAGGCCCTGTATCGGACAGATTCTGCTGTTTACCTCCATCTTGGTCTCCACAGGCTGGGAGACAAAAACCCCTGTTCTTGGTAAGACATCTATCTATAGGATTCTGCTGTAGCAGCTCAAATCAACTAAGACACCTACATTTCCTCGAACCAAAGTAGACGAACAGTCAAATTATTTCTGCACTTGAGTAAACTGAGGGCATATGAAAGACATTGATTTTGAATCTAGTTTTTCTATATAAGAAGAAAAGAAAGCCACTAATTAGCATTTAGAAATATAATATTCTTCCATTGCCCAACATAGCTCTAATCAATAATCTTTTTTTTTTAATCAGTTTTTCAGCTAATACTGATTTTGTAGCTGCCCACAAAGCACATGCCTAAAAGCCATTTTAAAAAAAGGATAAATTACCAGACCATTTTAGGGATTGTAAACCCATGAAACAAAATACATTCCTAAATGAAGTTTTTAATTGAAAACCTCTGGCTTCGGAGGCTCACTGAGGGCTGCATGTTAATGTAGCACAGCGGCGTGGAGAGTTATCTGAGTCACCCTGGCGATCCAGAAGTGCAGTAAGGCAGGAATAAGAAAATTAGATAAGATGGTGTCCAAATTTAAATCACTGCTATTAATCTGCTCACAATTTTACTTTTGCTTTAATAAAACCAATTCTATCTATCATGCTTTGGGTAGGGCCTGCTAAGAGGTGGCCGGACATTCTGTCTCCAGCTGCTACCCCATCTCTCTCCGAGATTTGTGCATCTTGGAGGGACTTTGGATGGCGGAGTGAGGTCTGGCCTGTCAAGAGGCCCCCAAGCATTTTAAAAACACACTTGCGTGGCGAGCCTGAGCTGGCACCTCGCACACATGATCACATTGACATCTTGGCACTGGTGGTAGATGCTCATCGCCCGGCTAGGAAGTAACTCTGCCTGACTGGCTCATTGCCCCTCTGAGCATATCTCTCGGGATGTGTTATATGATGAAGAAATACCTGAGGAATCGTCGACCCAGAAAAGGGCTCAGACCTTTTCCTGGAGGAGATTTCCAAAGCTGTGGAATGGGAAAACGGATTCAAACCAAGGCAAGTGCAAACCAGTTTGTGTTTCTATGTGTATCTCATAGCGTGGTGGTTAAGGCGCTGGGTGCTCCCACATGGCTGACCACAGTTTGAGTCCTGGACCTGGTGGCTTGCTCTCTCTTACCTTCTCTCTCTCTCTCCCTCTGTGTATCTCTCTAGTCAAATTAAAAATGAGTGAATGAATAAGTAAAGTTAAATTTAAAAAATTCATGTCCCTTTTCTAATTCTCACATATTTTCTGTTCATTACTGATAAAGGACAAGTTCTCTGTGGGAGTCTAACCCTGCCTCTCTACGCAGTGTTCTTCTCAAGCACTTTTCAGATGAAAAGTAATTCACAAAGAGGTTGTTAGGAGCAGCATCGTTCCTTTAGGAAAGGCATTTAAATAAATAAGCAGACAACGTGTTTTAATAAAAATAATATGAGAAGGTAGAATGTGTATGTTGGTCTGCAATCTCTGAGTTTCCTAAGGGAGGACAATGCATTTCCCAAGGACTCCAAGTCAAAGGCACACAGTTCCTAGTGGAAGCAGAAATAAATATTTTCCTCCCAATGCTAACATTGCATGATTAATCATAAGAGCTGTAGATTTATTATAATTTTCCTTATAAATTTTTTGTTGCTGCTGCCTTCCTTTGAAGCATCAAATTCTGCCAGAGGCAGGAACCCAGGCTTAATGGACCAAGAGCATGAGCTGAGAGAGCATCTCTCCAGTTTATATTCATCTGGCAAAAGAAAGTATTTTAACATTAACACATTATGTCACAGTATTTTGAAAACAAATACTTTGGTTTAAATATAGTAGGGATTGCTGCTTTAGTTACTGAAAAGATCATCTCAACTTTTTTCCGTTTTCAGGGAGGTTTTAAGACTCATTTTATAAATTGTATTTAGCCTTTTTATTAGAATTGGATATAGCTGTTGGCGCCACTAATGGGTTTTATATGTTTCTGCTGGTGTCCCCAAACTAAATTGCTGTAACTAATGTAGCACTGTCTCTTTTTTTATAACTGTTAGCCGCTGAGAGCAAAATAGAAATTTGTGCAAAATCAAAATATTAACAGTTTATTTATTACAAGATGTCAAGAG